TGATGAGGTCCCTTCTCAGTCTTCTCTTCTTCAGGCTACAGAAGCCCAGCTCCCTCAGCCTTTCCTCGTAGGGGAGATGCTCCAGTCCCCTCATCATCTTTGTTGCCCTCCTCTGGACTCTCTCTAGGAGTTCCTTATCCTTCTTGAACTGGGGAGCCCAGAACTGGACACAGTACTCCAGGTGGGGTCTCACCAGGGCAAAGGTAGGGCTGGCTGGCTGGTCTCTCCACATCTCTCATTTTAACAGGTTCAGATGTCTCTGAGTTTCCCCTCCTTTCCACCTGCTTTGGTTTCAGGTCTGTAACACCCTGGCATTGCAATTTGGTTGTCGCTTGTGGACAGATACAGAGCTAATAGGAATTTTATCTATTTTCTGCTACCCTGATTCAGACCAGGGACTATTGAGGTTTTGATGAAAGCACTGATCACCCACCATTTGCTCTTTAAAGAGTAATTCCTTAGTTATTCCTTTCTGTCTGAATTAAGACTCTTTGGTTTGCTCAATTTGCTGTCAACGTGGCAAGTTGCCAGCACAGCAAAGTGGGGAGCTGCCCCTCTGCTCCCCCAGCCCCAGGGTCTGGCCAACATCTAACCTCCCTGCCCTGGGTGCCCTCCTGCCGACATGAAGCCACAAAGGGGGGAGTTTGGTAAACGCCCCATTATCTCCAGCACATGAAATCACAGGGTCAAGACATTGCTAGGGTGCGCACAACTGCCGTGTGCTCCTGGATCAGTTCACATCCCGCGTCTGTAGTTTCTAGAGCAGAAACCCTCAAGGTCTGGCTCCTGGCTTCAGATCAGGCATCTTATTTTCTACTTTTTTTTCCACTAAAAAGCTTCATCCCGCTGTATTGAACTTGCCAGCAATGTTGGGAGATGCAAAACACAGATCATCCAGAATATTGTGTCTGGTCTGAGAAGGAAAACAAAACCAAAAAAGAGGTATTATGATTTGACTGTTGTGGGGCCAATGTTTTAGCAAGAGCAGAGCGCCAAACTGTCCCAAGAAGCCCCCATCCACAGCCCGGTGAAGATGGGAGGCTGTATCCCAGCAAACTGACTGGTTGCCTCCTGGCTGGAAAATATTTCAATACTTTGCTTTGAAAATGTGCAGAGATGTTAACATTTAACGGGGGAAGATGAGCACTATCTGCTGTAATCAACGAAGGGCACCCATGGGTGAGGCAAACGTGACATTTTGTCTGTGCCGCACAGCTGTGTGAGGACACGGCCGCGGTGAGCACCGTCCACCCCTCGTGCAGGAGGTTCACACAAACCCTGTGGAGGCCGTTTCCTACATACGCTCTCGAAATAGGGCTTACAGCAGCGTCAGCTGGCGCGTGGGCCTTCCACCGGGGACAGAATTTCACCCAAGGTTAAATCTGGGTTAGCACAATGCCATCTACCTAACATACCCATTTTGCACAAGAACACAGTGCACGTTTGCCCATGTTTTGAGCACCACGAATGGTGACTGTATAGGGAGACCCATGAGAGGAACGTGATTCTGGGAACTACAGCAGTTTTATACCAAGTTCTTTAAAGCACGTGAATAGTCCTTGCCTGAAATGTTACTTCCTTGTACAAGATAAGATTTTCTTTAAGCAGAATAAACAATGTTGCAATAATACTTTCAGGTAACTTCATATCTATATCAGTATCTTGGTAAAAGTTGGAGTCTAAATTAATACCGAAAGGCAAAGAGTGATAAATAGGCTTTAATTCACTATTTTTAAATAATTTAACATCCAATGATAAGAATAATCAGGCAAATTAAATGATTGGAAGTCTCAAAATTCGGAGATAGCATCCATGTCCATTCCTAGTCACAGGTAGAGCACGTCCACAGCAACA